CTGTGGCTGTGACCCTCAAGGGAAGCTGCACTCAAACATGGCGGCTCCTCAGCATGTCTGCTGTAGCAGTGACCCTCAAGGGAAGCTGCACTCAAACATGGCGGCTCCTCAGTATGTCTGCTGTGGCTGTGACCTTTAAAGGAAGCTGCACCCAAACATGGCGGCTCCTCAGCATGTCTGCTGTAGCTGTGACCCTCAAGGGAAGCTGCACTCAAACATGGCGGCTCCTCAGTGTGTGGACTGTAGCTGTGACCCTCAAGGGAAGCTGCACTCAAACATGGCGGCTCCTCAGCATGTCTGCTGTGGCTGTGACCTTTAATGGAAGCTGCACTCAAACATGGCGGCTCCTCAGCATGTCTGCTGTGGCTGTGACCTTTAATGGAAGCTGCACTCAAACATGGCGGCTCCTCAGCATGTCTAATGGGAACTGCACTCAAACATGGCGGCTCCTCAGCATGCGTGTTGTGGCTGTGAGATGTGCTTAGACCATCCCTAAACATCTCCTCCTCCCTCCATCTACCCTCCACCTCCATGTCCGCGTTACGATGTTCGCTGTGATGCGTGCAGGACTTACGTGTGCCTACAACAAGAAGGTAGTGCCATCGTTAACTGCTGTCACTGGGAGCACATCGAATCAAGTCGACTTCTGTGCTGCAACATGCTTGGACGCAGACACAAGCACAGGTATCAACCCTTGACCGGAACACCTGTGCAAAGTCCATATCTTATGCGATGCACGTGTGTAAGGAAGGAAAAAGCTGGCTCTGCTATACACCCCAGTGTCAATGACACAAGCTATGATGGACATATCGTACCAGTGTCAATGACACAAACTACGATGGACATATCGTACCAGTGTCAATGACACAAGCTATGATGGTCATATCAATTCAACACCGATGAAGCCAATCAATCGATTAATCAATCAATAAATCAATTGATGAATCCGATGAGATCACGAGGTCAAGACACGATAAGGCAATGATTGCAGCGTCATGGCTGCAGCAGACTGTATGGCCGATACCTACCTACAGACATGAAGGTAGTAGATGTCTTGGCAGTATGCCAGAAACGAACTGAATTTAGACTTGGTTGAACGGTGGGATGGATGGCCAGGCCTGGATCAGCACGTCAACGCTGGTTAATTTGATTGTGTCACTACCAGTGATTGCAATGTTGTCACTACAGGTAAATGAGATGATTGTCAGTGCAGGTAAAGTGTAAGTTCCCAGTACAGGTAAATGCATAGTCAGTGCATGTAAATTGGATGTCGTCAGCACAGGCGAATTTGGCATTTTGCCAGCACAGGTAACTGCGAAAGTTGTCGCCCCATTATTCCTAGCAGTGTAATTCGTACTGTGATGTTATCCATACTGCGTTGTTGATTCTGCAGTAGTTATTGTCGGTTGCCACAGTTTTATATAGTTGTGACCTGCGTATAGTGTATACTATTTATGATGTGTCTGGTGTTGAATAACTAGAGGTTGCTCCGTAGGTGCCGCGTGTAATCCTGTTGCTATTAATTGTATGAACACGTTATTAACTACAGCCTTGGTACCCAGCTGCGCTTAACTGGAGGCATGGCATTCTATTGCCATTCAATGATTTTATTTTTATGGGAGCCTAAACTTCTATAGATATAGGCAGCTTTAGCGATAATTATGAAAGCACTATATGCGTTATCGCGACGGGCTGATACTGTCAATAGCCGCGTTCACACGTAGCAAGAAATCCGGTATTTAGCGTTCACACGAGGCAAAATACGAGGCCCAAGAAATCCGGTATTTAGCGTTCACACGAGGCAAAATACGAGGCCCAAGAAATACGGTATCTAAACAGATCCGGTATTTCATGTAAATACGAGGCTTCCCAGACCCCGAATAATTTGCCGTGCTTGAGAAATACCGGACTTCTTGGACCGCGCATTTCCTCGTGTGAACGCTAAATACCGGATTTCTGAAGCCGCGTATTTTATATACTGGTCCGCGCTCGACAGTTCCAGTGTAACGCGAGTGGACTGTCGAGCGCGGACCAGTCTACGTATTTTATCGGCAGTTGGTGCGCATTGCATTGTTTATTTCGCATTGTTTGCTTGATTGTTACTAAAGCAGCTCGTGGCTCGCAAATACCGTATTTCTGGAGCCGCGAATCAGCGTGTGAACGCTCGGCCGCGTATTTGTCTCAGATTCGGTATTTCGCAAATACCGTATTTCATAAATACGAGGTCTCGTGTGAACGAGGCTATTATTTCAACCATTCATGTTAGTTTCCCTATGATCTAACCTCCGGTGTGCATTTCACATAGTTTGGTTTGCCTACAGGACGTAGGGAATGCAGCCCTTGGATATGCAGCCAAGTCTGTGTGACCCACTGCGATACAGACGTTGCAAATCTAGTTTTAGTTACAATGTAAGCCGCTCCAGCGCAGTACGCAATGCAACGAGGAGTTATAGTATGTAGGTACGTGCACCTGTGGGAGAAAATACCTCCAGCTCTCTTCCTATTGTTACCTAGCCGTAGAACATTGCATGCTGATGGGTCTACGGTCACATACCAAAGTATGAATGTATGTTGTCGTAGGAAACACTTATTAGGATCACGTGGAATATCATTCAGCATTCATATATCGACGTCGATACGGGAGGGACTGAGCCTGGTTTTGATCGCTATTCTAAAAAGGTACCATTAGATGATTTCAAGCAAGTGCTAATATGAGTGTCTTCGTACCGTACGCAGTGGCATATGATCTATTGGGCAGTGTTGGACGCAACTCTTTCATATATCACTGTATACCTTGTTGCTGTTCGATAAAACATACACCTGTGACTCATACATAGCCCATAGCAAGCAATTAATGTCAGGATCATAATATCAAATCGTCAATATCAAGTTTTTTGGACTTTTAACTAGTTGAGAAACAATCTTATCAGGTAAGAATTTGACGATACATTTAGTCCCGTTAGTACTTACTTTTAATGTAAAAAAATGGCAACAAAATTGTTCAATTTCCTTGTACATCATAGGAAATTCGTGACGTAGTAAATTTAGTGGAGCAGCGGCATGACTGTTGAAAATATGGTATGGTTGTAAGTATAGAACGCACACTTGGACATAATTTATAACTTGATAACGTGGTAGCAAGTGTCGTCTGAGATGTTGTATACATATATTATTTTTGGCTTTCACTGCTATTTTGTGGTTGAGCCTTTTGATAGTATGATCTGGAGTACAATCCCCACGATTGACAGCTACCAAAATTATAACTTGTTAAAATCTTTTGCTATTCTATTTTGCAGCTTCAACTTGTAATTCCACAGAATTGTAACAGGACATTACCTGCTTTGAACATGTGCTCATGTACACGTACTGTATACCTTTTATCTTTGTGCTATAATAGGGAATAACTAGCAAATTAAGTCATGCGCGAAAGGATGAATGGATGTTGTAGAATTATGCCCTGGTAGTGATTTCCTCTACTTACGTTAGTTCTGTTTTAAGGCTGTTTTATTCTTGTAGGTATTCGTCTGTCTTGCATGTGTATTGGTAAAAACACGTTATTAACGTTTATGGTTTTCCCAAATTCCCCGGAGAAATCGTCTGTCTCGTAATCTCTTAGTGGTAACTCTTCAGACTGCAGAGTACTATATATAATAATAATAAATAATAACGATACAGTGTTTCCCCTGGCCAAAGAGGTCTGTGAGGTGGTAAATGTTTTTTGTGTGATGTGTTTGCGCGTTTCGAGGTCCTAGCAAAGCAAGCAGTGCAGGTGCTGGTCAAGCTGGTGCGGGGTCCGGGTGCATGCTCCCCCGGGAAATTTTTGGGAAAAAAACAGTGCAATTTGGTGCATTCTAAGCTATTCTGAACACATTGTATGAGACTCTTCAATCTCTTTTTCAAGTTGTCAAAGGTTTCGTCAACGAGGCGGTGTTTTGGACAAATTTCTGTGTGGCGGCTGAGAATTTGAGCGAGGCGGCCCATCTCGCCCATGTCAATGCAGGGGCAACACTGCGATAAAATATACTGCGAATGCGGGGGTTGTGGGGGTGGGAGTTTGGTGGGGCCGGGGTTGTGGGGGTGGGCGTTTGGCGGGGCCGGGATTGTGGGGGTCGTAGCCTACCATCAACGTCGTCAGTAGATTTGGTCAAGCGGGCTGATGCTTGTACGCGGTATATTTTTCAATCGTAGCGGTTTGTAGAGCGGTTGTTGTAGCGTTTGTGAGAGGCGACACTGCAAATCTAAAACAACTCATCGCGTTAGTGTACTACAGTATACTTGTTACTGTCTCGGCAAATTCGTGTTACTAGCCACATTTCTAAGCTCCATCTGTTTGTATGGAAACCTACCACCACCTAGCATCATGTGTGTCATAATTATAGACTATATTATGACACTCCTGTTAGCATTGCGTCTGTAGCAATGACAAGATGGCCAGTTTAGCGATGCGTTACTCAAGCGGGTAGAGTTACAGCAAAGCGACTATCAATGTTTGCATGAACACTCACAGTAGTACTGGCAACGATAGCGCTAACATAGTTTAGCAGTGTAATGTCGTGTTACTTTTCCGTGAGCTTAATCGGTGTCGTTACGGAGTCCCTGCGAATATGGATAGATCTGT